CAACCTAAGCCACACCAATTCAGCCACCACCATACCACCACCACCCAACCTAAACCCTGGAACCACCATCCCACCAACACCTGAAACCACTGCGTGACCAGAATCCCACCTAGCTAAGCCAACCCCATTTACCCATTAACCCAACCCTTTAACCCCATATAGACAGAGACAAGCTGCCGAAATCGGGGAAAGGGAAGGAGAGAGAGGCTAGAATCGCGACGAAGGAAGGAGAGAGAGAAGCCAAAATCGCGACGGGTGAAAGAGAGAGTGCCGAAATCGGGAAAGGGGGCTGGAATCAAAACGGATAAAGGGAGGAACGATCGGGAATTTGGACGGGGCAGGGAAGGGGACTGGGATCGGGACGGGGGAAGGGGTTTTCGAGGGTGGTTAGTGGTTTCAGGGTGAGGGGACTCCGAGTCAGCAGATCAGGGGGAGGGAGAGAGTGTTTAGCATGGCGCTTGGGGGTCGGGCTGGGATGGGTTGCGTGGTCGTGGATGGTGGTCGGGCTGGTGTCCATGGAAGGTGGTTGGGGTATTGGGGTATTAAATTAATAACTTTACTTTTTTTATTTTTTTCACCAATTTAATGTCAACACGTGTCATGTAACTTGCTATAGCAAGTCAAATGATCGATTGGGACCATTGTAGCGGAGTGGGTATAAAGGTCAGATTATTTAAAAATAATCGAATGGTGGGATTAATTTGGGCGGATCGGATGAGCCGAAGGTCGGATTATTCCCGACAATTTTTCCTATTTTTTTCATTAGGTAGTTTCTCGTAAAAATAGTTTCATAAAATGTCCTTCCAAACATTATAATTGAGTTGTATGTATTAGAAGATTACATATTATTATATGAAAAAATGAGCCAATCATATTCACAACTAAAAATTATGATTTTTGCGACCGCCTCGAACGGTCGTTGAAAATAGCAAAAAACTGTCGTGAAATGTTATTGTGACCGTCAACTGTCGTAACATGACAGTCGTAATTTAGATGGTCGCAAAAAAACATAATTACGATCGCATGACGGTCGCAGATTTATTACGACCGTTTTTATTATTTTCAATGGCCATTATCCCAAACGGCCGCAAATGTTAATAGATATGACAATTTTAGCGGTCGCAAATCAAGAAAATAGCGACCGCTTTAGACGGTCGCTAAAAGTTTTTTTTTTTAAAGGCACCCATTAATGCCTGTACTTCACAACTTGGCAGCTAGCGACACCCACCAGATCACCCGAACCAACTCCACCCACTGCCAACTCCCACCACTAACGACCACGAAAATTCACACCACCACCACCGCCGCCGCTCACGAAAATTCACACCACCGCCACCCACCACGAGAATTCACTAAAAACACAGAAAATAAACCCTAAAAACCCACAAAATATAGATCTAAAAAAACCCAGAGTTCTCAAAAATTCGAACAAAATTAAAGAGAACTCAAAATCAAACCCCAACAACAATGAAATTCGAACAAAATATGTACAAAGTTCATGAAAATTCGAACAAAATCAACGAAAACTAAAAATTAAACCAAAAGTCAACAAATTCGGACCAAAACTTAAACAAAAACCGAAAAATAAACAAACCAGACAAAACAAAACATGGAAATTCGATGATTTAGATGACAAAATAAATTCATAAAAATCAAAACTAAACAAAAACAAACAAAACAACATACCTTATCCAATAATTCTTCCTCTTTAGGTGTATATGGTCAAATTCGACCATAAGACATCCAGATCTGGAATTTTTGTGGTCGAATTTAACCATGAACACCAAACTTCATTTTTTATGAAAATCCACACACCACAATTTGTTTTATGATGAAAATCATAATAAAATCTTAACACCAAACTTCTTTTTTAATTTGTTGACAAAAATCCACACACCAGAATGAAGAAGAATATGAGAGTGAAAATGGAGAAGAGTCGAAGAAAGAGAAGGAGGAGAAAGGAAAGAGAAGGGAGATGGAGTGCTTGAGAAAGGAAAGAGAAGAGAGAGAAAGAGAAACAGAGAGTTGTGGCGATAGTGAATAGATTAGGGTTATGGTGAATTAGTTACTCCGTTTTATACCCATTTTTTTAAAAAAAAATAACTCCCTTGCGACGGCTAAAAGCGGTCGCAAATCTGCAACTGATCAACAGTCGGTCGCAATTTGCAAATTTAAGCGGTCGTAATAAAACTATTTTTATTTCAAATTATTTTTGATAAGTATTGTTTTAAGGAAAATGTTTAAATACATTTGCGACTGTCCTATAACTTAAATTCGGTCGCAAATCTGGGGACCGCTTTTAAAACGATCGCAAATCTGCGACCGCTTTTAAAACGGTCACAAATCTATGACCGCATAAAATCCGGTCGCAAAATTCATATTTTGCGACCCTTTTTTGATGGTCGTAGAAAAACGGTCGCAATTTCACCGAATTCTAGTAGTGATTGTTTATCATTAAAGTAATATGGTATCATATATATTTCAAACAATAGATGTAAAAATATCCTGCTATGGTTACATACATTTCTAAAATTTCCTTTGTTGGTACTTTCGATGAACCCACATAGATGATAATAAATTATATATAATACAATATCACAAATTCTTAGATACGACTGGCTACACCTTGTGGCCAACCATCGTGGGGGTTACTTCAATTCTTAATGTTAAAGGGGTTACTCAGTCACTGTTACAGAGGCTACTTTGTCAGTGTTATAAGGTTACTTTGTCACTGTTATAGGGGTTAAATGATTGATAAGTTATAGGAGTTGGGCTCCATTCTTTAGAGCTGCTTTGCTCTGCTCTGCCCTTCTATGATTATAAATAATACTTAATATTGAATTATTGTAATAATACTAATAATATTATTAGAAATGAATATTTAATAATAATAATAATAATAATAATAATAATAATAATTAATAATTAATATTTAGTAATTATTTTAATAATATTATTAAAAATAAATATTTAATAATAATAATAAATAAATAATATTTAATAATTATAATAATAATTAATATTGAATAATAATAACAATAATAATATATTTTAAAAATAATAATAAATAATTATATTTAATAATAATGATAATAATAGTAATATTTAATAATAATAATAATAGTAATACTAATAATGATAATAATAGTAATAATAATAATAATTAATAGTAATAATAATTGATTTTTTATAAAAATAACTAATATTTAAAGATAATAATAATAATTATTAATTTCTAATAATAATAATAATAAAAATAATAATTAAATAATATTTAATAATAATAATAATAATCATAATAATTACTATTTAATAATAATATTTAATGATTATAATAATAATGCGATAATAATAATAGTACAGGTAATAATAACGTCTTAACGTGGAGAAAACTGAAGTTTTCTGGCTTACAGAAGACCCTCGAAGCAGGCATAAAGGTGTCTTTCCACTTAATATTGCTCGACCTTTGCGTGGTGTTAGGTTGCTTGGTGGTCCCGTTAGTTCTAATTAATTCTGGTTTTAGTGGTGAGCTTGTGATGTAGAGGGTGACCAAGACCATTGCCCTTATGGATAAGGTCGCTATACTGGCTGATCCTCGGTGTGAGCTGTTGTTACTTAGGGCATGTACCGGAGTTTCTAAACTCTACTTTGCATTGTGTACTTGTCCTCCTAGTACTTTTGAGGCGGCTCAGCGCACTTTCGATGGGGCTCTTCGATCTTCCTTGGAGCGTATTGTTACTGCTTTGGGGTATGGGTTTGGCGACTGGTAGTGGCGGCTTTCCACCTTACCATTTGCGTTTGGAGGGCTTAGTGTTTATTTCGCAGGTGATGTTCGTCACTATGCTTTTCTTGCTTCTTGGTTGCAGTCGGCTAGCTTGTAGACACAACTTCTACGACATGCTGGTGTTGTTGGTCTTGGACGAGCCTTTAAAGATGCGCTTGGTTTGTTTAATGGAACAGTGGAGTCTAGCATTTTGAGTAATCCTATTGAGGTCGCCGCCCCTAAAATCATGAAGAAATTGGCAGATATGTATTTCACATAGGTTACCGCTTCAGCAGAATCTGCTTATTCTTTAACTCCTCGGCAATCAGTAAATGGAAATCACAGCAGGGTGATCACACCTTTGCTTGGCTTAGGGCGGTCCCTATTTCGGGGTTGGGTCAAACGATGAACGCCAAGACTTATCGATGTGTGTTGTGCTACCGGTTCGTTGGGTGTTCCATTGTTCTCTATCACAATCGCTATGCTCTGCTTGTTTAAGGGCTTTTACTGGGGATATTTTTGGTGATCACACGGTGTATTGTGCTGGTATTATGGGCATTAAACATCGGCATAATGTTGTTCGGGATACCCTTGTTGATGTTGGTTATCGGTCAGGGATTTCAGCTAGAAAGGAGGTGGACATTGGGTTATCTGGAGGGAACAACAGGGCTCTCAGACTTGCAGATGTGTTACTTTGGGATCGTGGTTGCGATGTCTGTGTTGACTTGACAGGGTCTTCTCTGTTGACACGGTATGGGCTTTCTGACTTTGTTCTTGGACGGGTAGTGATTGATGCGGCCAATCGGAAGCGGATCAAGTACGAATCCAGTTGTCGAGCAATTGGATATGGCTTCCTTCCTTTCTCTTTCTCTTCTCTTGGGGAGTTAGAAAAGGACGTTGTTGCATTGCTGAAACGGATTCAGAAGTTCTCGAAAACTCAGGATATTGGAGCTCGTGCTGCAGCTCATATCTTTACTAGGATCGGCTTTTCTATAGCTAGAGGAGTGGGGGCCCAGATTGTATCTTGGCTACCCACTAACTTTTTATAGGTTATATAATAATAATAATAAAATCTGCTCTATTCTACGCTATTCTGCTCTGCTTCAATATGATCTGCTGTACTTTGTTCTGTTCTGCTCTACTGACTCTTCCTCTGCTCTGCTCTGCCGACCCAAGTTCTGCTCTTCTCTGCCATGCCCAGAAAGTTGGAAGGTTACCACTAAACTAGTATATGCCAATACTTGGCTGATAGAAGAGCTAGTATGGAGTATATTAGTTATACTAATATGAATATTTAGTATCCCTCGAGGAACGCATGCAGGGTTGTATTTTTTTTCTTTTTTTTTTTTTTTTTTTTTTTTTTTGAAAGGATGCAGGGTTGAATTGAATTATAGTTACATTGTTGTTAGTTAATCCTTTATTAATTGTTTATTTAGTTAATCTGATCTACTATTAATTACTCCGCATTTCCTCACCCACCCAGCCACGTACCCTTTCCATTTTTCCCAAAGTAGCTACTATAAATAGAAAGGGTCGTGACTTGTGAGGATTAATATGAAGTAATATACTCCGTATATAGCAATAGAAGCATTATTTCACCCAAAAGATAAACACACTTACGCAAAGTATTTTAATATGTTCAAGTTTAAGTAATAAGTGCAACAAATGGAAAAGGTCTCAATTAACTTTCTGGTTGCTCCTGTTCTATTAGCAATGTTGCTCATGTTCAGTACCTCAACAGGTTTGTATATATCTAAATAATACTCCCTCCGTCCCTAAATTACATTCCTCCTTTCTATTTTTGGTATTCCTAAATTACATTCCTTCTTTCTATTTTTGGTAAGTTTTTTTTAGTAAATCAACTCTTTTTTTCTGTTTTATATTTAATGCTTTCTCACTCATCCTTACCTAATCTCACTCATAATCCTTGTGCCAAATTACATGAATATGATTGGTTAAAAATTTTCAATTAGGAGCATGTGATTGGTCCTTTTTTTTTGCAAAGGATTGGTGACATGTCATGAGTAATAAATAATCTATCTTTATACTTCCCATTGCATTATCTAATTATTGTTATTTGTCTTATTCTTTCCTCCTTAATTCCCGTGTAAATTTCCAAAGAGGAATGTAATTTAGGGACGGAGGGAGTACTTACTTTTTTTTCCCCCCCCTTATTATTTGGTGCAGTGTTCACAAGAAAACACATGTCATAGAGGCTCAACATTAACTTAGTTATTTCGTGGATCAACTTATTAATTATAACAATAAAAACAAAAAAAAAAGTAGATAATTGTAGTTACATTTATAATCAAAGAGATTGAGACATTTAATTTGTTAATATTAATAATAAAATTATTTGTTAAACTAGTTTAAATCCCGTGCAATGCACGGTTATTGTTAAATTTTATAAAGAGTTATTGCATTGAATTGTATAAAAAACTTAAATCATAATACTAATTTAAAAATAAATATAACTTTAATTTTATATGTAACTCTATCAATGTCAAGACTAGTGACACTTAGACAATTAGACTTGACTTTAAAAAAAAAAAAAAAAGAGGTCTTTGAAGTTTTTATTTTTTTGTAAAAAAGTACTAAGGATAGTACCCGCACATGCTGCGTTACTGCGTTAGTATTGATACGACTTTTAAGAATAGAAAATAAAGTGTATATATATCTTAACAAAATTGTTTTATTTTTAATTGAATTAAACATTATTGCAAAAGTAACAAAATTGGAAAAAAAAAGTTTTATAGTATTATCGAAAACTAAAATAATATATAGTAGTATTGTTTAATAATATTTACCTCATTTTTTTTTTACAAAAATAATACCAAATAAAAGACTACTTAAAATGATTATAAAATGATTTCCTTAAAGTATCTGTATAAAAATGAAAAGTAAAATGGGCGGAAATTTTTTTAATGAGATTGTGACAAGTGTCATTTTAGGTTCGTTTTTAGTTATAGGTTAATGATTATTGTTTTGAAAATGACATTTGAGAAAAATGGAATCAGTAGATGTTACAAAATGGATATTCAATTTAGGTTATAAGTCATAAATAGTGTATTAAGTTTGCGTGATTAGATTTATTTTATTTTATTATTTGTAAGAAAACTTTGCAAAGTTATCGTATTAAAACTCTCCTATTGATTTTTTGTAAACTTTTTTTTTTTTTTGAGGGCATTGTAAACCTATTTCATATAAGGAATGAGAACCAAGACAATTACATAAGGTCATGTCTAAAATATAAAAACAAAATTTTTGAATAAAAATTCTTTAAATTTTAATTTATAGTTGAAGTTTTAATGTACTTACATGTTTCATACTTCTAAAGAAATAATTCAATAACTCAAGATATAACGTACAAGGAATGGAAGACCCTGTAACAGAGTACTTTCGCTCTTATATTTATTTGGCACGTCAAGATATAAGTTACTTAGACTAAATTTAATTGGTGATTTATTCTCATGTAAAAACATTAATAGTCGGGTAAGATCTTGTTTAATTTGTCTCATTGTCTATTATTCAAATATAAAAAAAAATAAAAAAAAAATTAATTTTTTGTTGTACGTAACTAAAGATATTACATTTGAAATTAAACATTGGTAACCGTGCCTAAATAAAATGTGTCAGTCATCTGCTAATCTGAAATAAAGGAAATATCATGTACCAAATAAGTATGATGTTTAATTTTTTTTCTTTTTTCGTTCAGCTTTTTGTTATTTTATGAGGCTGAAAATGATTTTCATTGGATAATATATGAATATATGACGGGAATGAATGTTTTTTAATACTTCAATCTATATTCATTATTTTTTAACCGGAATTGAACATGGTCTTTGAGTCTAAAGATTTATGGCCATAGTGATGTATTGACAAACAAACACCGTTAAAATTAAAGAGCATTTAGGGCGTGTTCAGCAAGATATAGCTGTGAAGGTAGCTATTAACTGTGTAAGTAGCTTTTAGCTGTCAACAAGTTGTAGCTGTGAAGATAGATAAATTTTTAACTAGCTGTTACATATAATAATCAATATTTTATATTTAAAACTATAGATTAAATTTCAACAGCTACCTCTATTTTCAAAAACTAATATTTTTAACTTTTTATAAAAGTTACCCCCACCACTAAAAGCTACCCTAACCATTATTTTGCCAAACACTGAAAGCTACTCAAATACTAGCGTCGAACACGCCCTTAATACTAGATATAGTAGTATAAATCGTAAAGCTACAAGGACTATATAGTTAAAAAGGATTTACATTTTTTCTTCAAATATTACTCTCTGATAAAAAAAAATAAAAATAAAAAATAAAAAAAATAATAAAAAAAAAGTCTCTGTAATTCTTGATACATTTTTTTTAAAAAATTTCAGCTATGGCCATTGTAACGATGCCAAAAACTTCTACGGAAATGCCAATGATGGTAATAGAAGAAGTGATGATAGTCCAATCACCAAAAATTGATGATGAAAATGGATACCATGAAACAAATATGATGATTACGCAGTCGCATAATCGTGGTTTGGACGCCCAAAGAATTAAGCAAGAAGTCGCAACAAATGATAGCGGGGAAGTTTTGAAGTGCGCTGGTCCCCGGCAGTATTGTAACATTATATTTGGACCTCCTTGTTGTAATGGTACATGTATTGAGTGAGTCTGTTAGTATTGAGGCACCTTTTGCCGGTGGAGCATGTGTGATTATATAAAACACAACCATATGTATCAAAGTCGGGTTAAATATATTATAAATAACTTAACCCGACTGCTTAGGTTAAAGGGCTTGATACTTTGATCCCATCCGGCCTCTAATCCTCTAAGTGTTCCTAGTAACGTATGATCCTTTTCACTATAAGGATGTAGTGTAATAGCTAGTGTGTATTTGGCTAATCATGCTCATGTATTTATAATGCTTTCCTATTTGCATGAATTATGATGAAGCGAAATAATTATGTATGTGATTTTAAGTTTTTCTTAAATAAAATGTTGATTGATTACAATCTCCTTCCTATTTTAAACAATAATAACAATAATAAAATTAAGTGGTCTCCCCAACTAACAATGACTCCAAAATTTGATAGGTTGTCACACATGTCAAAGATAAATTTCTAACAAAACCTCCTGGCAATGTAATAGGTAAATAGGATCGAGAGAGATGACAATTTAATCTAACTTCTAAAGATTGGAGAAACTAAACAAAATCACGAAATTGGGATTGAATTAAGGTAGTTTAAACAAAAATAAGAATGCACGCAATTAATAAAAAGGTCTAGGGTTATGGTTCACCATACGTGTTTAATTCAAAATCAATCATAAAATCATCAACAATTTAATTAATCAATTATTTGGAGCATGCAATTGCTAAGCCTACGGTCGGGTCTTAACGATCTTAATTCAACATATGCAGTACGACCACTAAGCTAACATAATAAGAATTGTTATCAAACAGTTGATCATATTGCAAGATTAACAATTACACACTATCAATTAGAGAAATTAATAATAACAATATTAATAATACCAATTAAGATTCATCATTCCAAAACCTTAGAAGTAAACTACTCAAGCATGAATAAATAATTGAAACTACATCTAATAATTCAATTTTGAGAAAGCATAATTAAAAGAGAGAAATTAAATATCTGAATGAATAAAATCAATAAACTCAAGAACAATCCATGCATGGAGTTGCCCATAAGAAACTAGGGATAAGAGAACCAAAAACGAACATATAAAAATAATGAAAAGCACGAACGACACAAGAACAATAATCCCTTAGAGCATTTATTATATCCTAAGTTCTAATCTAAAGATAAATAATAATTAAAATAAGATAGGGAAAAAAAAACACATTTTATGATTAGTCGAATTAAAGTGTTATAGTCCACATAGGATTCCTCATCGTTTGCATGCACGCACACCCCATGTAATCCCCGTATTTTTTAAATATTTTATAAATGAAATTTTTTTTATTTATAATATTTATTTGTTATTTTCCGGAATTTAATTTCAAAAGTTTCAAATTATTAATCTTGGACGAAAATTATTTGAACAAATTATTTTATGCACCTTTATTCTACAATTTATGTCCAATCAAACAAGCCTAACCCATTTATTTACTTAATTGACCCATTATTTTTATGAGACTCAATCTTCCTATTTACCCTAAAATTCTCTCCTATAAATACCCCATGAATCCCAAAAATTTTCCACACAAAAAGGTTAGTTTATTTTCTTTTTTCCTTTGTTTTATTAATTTGTGTAATTATAATTATTGATTTATGGGTTTTGATTTTATTGTTTGATTAATTTAATTAGTATCAAATTGTATTTTGATGATTAAACTATATAATTTCAGATTTTATAAATGTCATAATTTTCAGATTTTGTAAATAATATAACATAGGGTTTTTAATTATTGAAAATCATGATTTTAGGGTTTTTTATGAACAATTGATTTAGGGCTTTTATAATAATGATGTTTTGAAAATTTGGTGATTATAACTAATGATTAGTTTAACTTAATTCCATATTATTTTGAACACGTAAATTCGTGTTTTAATTTTTAGATTTATGTTCGTTAATATTAATCTCGTATTAATCCCAATCAAGTTCTTAACTCATCCGATTTTGATAAAAAAAAAAGAGTAGTATATTTCATGTGGAAACAACGTTTTAAGAAAGACTCACTACCTATGGCAGTGAACACCACCCTCTCGTGGCCAAATTCAGCCTCTAAATATGATTTTCGAGCAATTTTTGATTTTTAACGAAGTTTTTTTAATGCTTAAAATTTTATCCTTGAGTTTGATTAATAAAATTAATTACGTTTACTGTTAATTAAGCATAAATATATGTTTATTGAAGTTTTTAGAGGTTTTTCATCATATTATATTGTTGGAAATTATTTGGGTTACTACTATTAATTGTTGGTTGTTTTTTTAGGAAGTTAATATTTCCTAGGAGACTTTTAATTGAGTATAAAAGTGATGTGTTGATAAAGTTTTGAAGGGTTTTTAATTAAGTTAAAATTCTGGAAATATTATATACTATTTTTGATGTTTTATAAAGAGGGTTTAATCACCCATTAAAAAGAGAGACTATTAGGGGTTTTAAATAATTTTCAGATTTTTTATTAAACTTTAAACTTGCTGTAATTTTATGTATAAGAGTGTATTTTAAGTTTTCTTATGAAGAAAATTTAAAGAACTATATATAAGCCTTTAATTTTAACTAAAGGGAAGGTTTTAAAGTATTGTTTGATTTGGATTTTGAGGTTTTAAAGTAAGTTAGTATTGCTGTAAATTTGATTGATTGGGTATTGATTGAGATGTTATTGTTTGGTTTAGGAAGGAGTTTTATTGAATGTGATTTCTAGATAGTAAAGTGGCATACATACCAATTCGTTTATTCAAGGTACGTACAACTTACGAAACCTTTGTCTTTAGATGCATGTTTAGGGATGTATCGAGAACATTAACTTAGTATCATGTATAGAGAAGATTGGGCTAAATTGTTTGGTTATACATTGTGATTTCCGTATATTGTGTATGAGGCATGTTTGAGATATAAGTATATGACTACGGTTGTGGGTGATGTATAAGTGATTTTCTTACCAATTGGATATGTTATGATTAATTAAAGGTTATGGATTCTTGGTTGTCTATAAGTGGAATTAATTTTGATAATGGTTCCATGAGGTTAATTTTTAATACTCTTTCATGAATTAATTATAATTTGAGTAGAGAAAGTTCATTAAAGTCTTTAAGACGAGGTTCAGGATTTGAAGTGCCCTATGCACTTAAGGTGTTTATATACCGAGGTAGTTAAAGGATTCAATACTAAATATTGTTTGCCACTAATAAATCAAGAATTGAATTGGAACTTTGGATTGCTTGGAATGATGTGATATTTGATTGATTATATATTGGGTTTGCATATGAGTCATCACCAAGTCTAAACTTGTAAATCACGTAAAGTGCAAGATGGATAAGCAATAAAACTCTAGATTTGTGCACATCTAGAGTAATGACAATCAGGGGTTGGGGTACACAGGGTATTAGCTGTGCACTTTTCTCGAGGCCATCTGATCTACGAATCTCTTATTTCAAATACTTTTCAAAACTAGGAGTTAGATGAGATCTCATACTAACTACGGTCACGAAGTCACGCCCGTGGTCGTTGGATGTTTATTGATGTTTCCGAAAGGAGTTGAGGCATGGGGTTTTTCTTTTATTGATGTTCCGAATTGAGCATGGGTTGGACAACCTTGTCTATTGCTTAATCCAATGAATAAATAAATGAGTTAGCTACTACCAAATAGTGAAGTCTTAATAAAATTGATAGTTGATTCGTGTGTTGAGTCTCAATGATGCATGATGTTTGATTATTAGAAGCATGTTAGGGATTTCTTAATTTATTTTGCAGCTTGTATGTACTCAACTTTGCTGATTGCGTGCTTTTGTGTGTGTCTTTCTTTGGTCACGGCCTTCGCCTTTAAATAACCCTGTGACAATCCAATTTTTACACTTGTAATATTGGGGAGTAGACTCATCACAGGTGTTTCCATAGTTTGGACTTGCATCAAGGTGGTGGGATTTCGAGTGGAGAGTTGGTTATTGTTTGCAGTTTATTTCTTTTCATAAGTTTGAATTTATTTAAACTCTGGTTTGATTTATTTACTACTTTTGTGGGGTTTTGAATAAGGGCATTAATGGTTCCTATTTGTAAGATTTAATTTGGTTTTGGTTATTCTAACAGGCTCTCGCAATTTACTAGATCTAAGTTCTTATTGAAAATAGTCTTTAATATCAAATTAACATCTGCTCGATTCATCAATTTAATATTGATATACTTTTACAAGCCGCAATTGTGGTTTTGAAACTTATTTATAACTGAGTTAGTTTTCCGCTGCTATTTTCTGATAAAGCCTTAACGTTTGAACACGTGGCGGTAGCACACCAGTAATTCTCTTGAATATTGTTCAGGTTCCTCACAGGTTTAAAGAGAGAATTATTAGGGTGTTACACCCCACCCATCAGGCGATGGGTGGGCGATGGTCGGACAAGATGCAAAGGGAGGAGTTCGACCAGTGGGCGCTGGTTTTCTATCTCCCCAATCAGTATCTACATCCTTAACTTAACGCACAGCATGACCATCGCCTGATGGATGGGCGATGGGTTGGCAGCTTCGTAGGGTTAACTTCGGAGGTTGTAACTCGAAATTTAGGAATATTATAGGGGCATGCAGACTATCATTGGAAAGTTCTTCAAGTCTAGTTTGCAACAACTTAAATCGTCTCAATTCGATGTGTATATCAAAAACTATGGTCGAATTGAAACAGTTCACACGGTTCAATTTTTGCCTCATCGTTCATTACTGTTTTGCTTCATTCTTAACTCAAATTAATTCAGAAAGGCACATATAGTGACCCCTTTTGGATGGTATGTTCATTTTCATGTACACGCTAATCAAAATCGACATCCACTAGCATAGAATATTTGATCAACAAACTTAATTCATAGGCTTCCATCAAAACATTATTTGAATCAACTCTGAACACTTCAAAAGCATCTAAATGACTATGATATAACCTGAAACCTTAAGAAAAACACAAACAGGACATAATAGAGTGATATATGATGACTTATGCAAATATGACCCTAAAAACTACCAAAAAGACTAAAAAAACAGGCTACAAAACTAGCATAAACGAGTATTTGTTCTTTATAGTGACCTTATTCATCAACTCCCTACAATCAATACGTAGCCCATACTTCCATCTTTCTTCTTAACAAACAATACTAGAGCTCCTCCAATAATGGGGGTCCCCAAGGTGATGCATTTGGTATTATGTACGCTTTTTTCTAACAAAATCCTAAAATTGCTCCTTTAATTCACTCATCTCCTTAGGTGTCATTTGACATTGCGCCTTGGAAACAAGTGATGTTTTAAGAATCAAAATCTATGGTAAAACCTAT